TACAACAAAACACAAATTTCATATATAAAAGAAAGTTCATACAACACTAATAAACAAACAACACTTATCTGAAACTCTTTCTCAAAGCAAATCCCTTGCAGCCTCCCTTAGGAAATGTAGGAAGAAGAAATCTCTAACTTCTCTTCCTATCCAACACTTCTTAGAGAAGAGTTCACTCTCAAACTCACCACACAAACTCAAAACTATAAAGAAAATAATTGACTAATGGTGTGGAATGACATGGAATGATGTAAAGTGGCAAGGAGGAGTCCGAAGAGATGCGAAGGGGGAGTGAAGGAGAGCAAAATAGGGGGCTTTTTCGATCAATTTTGACCCCAAATAGAGTCTAGAGTCGGTTCTCAAATAGGTGCATCCAAAAACTCTTCAAAAAATGTCTAAATTTGTCGAATCTTCTAGAATCTAGAAATAGGGTCTGAACTGACAATGGCGCCGTCGGTGCCCATTCTGGTGTCATCGACGCCAGTGGTCCATAATTTAATTCGCTACTATGTGTCAAACGACACCGTCAGCATTGCTTCTGGCACCGTTGACGCTGAGTAGAACCCACCATTTGTTCTATAAGTCTGCGCCGTCGACGCTGCTCCTGGCGCTGTCAGCGCTGAGTATTTCTTCTAAAGCATCATTTTAACTCTAAATTTTATCTTTTTTGCTTCCTTTTTACTTGAAGTCTTAAAAATAAATAGCGTGTAAGAAAAATTAAAAATGCATTCCATTAAAGTGCAATATCACAAAAAATTAGTATAAAATATGGGTCAAAAAATGTCTATATTTTTGGTGTATCAAAATCCCCCAAACTTACATGTTACTTGTCCTCAAGTAACTCATTTACTACATAAAAATATGACTTATGGTAAAGAATTTAACTTTTAAAATTCCATATTTTAGTCTACTAAACATAACAACATAACTTAAGAAAAATTCAAAACAACTATAGTCTGCACATAATCTAATGCCAAATTGTCATGCCAAAACAAATTTCTGCAGCTCGTAACCATCAAACCAGAAAAAAGAAGACCAAAAGCTGCATCCATTTTAGCTAGTATACTAGAAAAATGCATCACACCAATGCATCCAATGAAGCTGTTTAAACAAAAATTGAATCCATTGTAGCTAGTAGAACAGAAATTGCATCCAAGCCAATACGAAGTGTTATTGCGAAATAAATAAACCAGAAATTGCATCCAATGCAGCTATTAAACCAGAAATTGTTGCAAAACCAAAAACCAAGAACTGCAACAAACCAAACAAGTGTAAAAAGTACAATTAATACATAAAACCTTAACTGCAGGTAATGGATATTTATATGAGGCATTTTGAAATCAAATTTTGAGTGAATTTGAAACATCCACTTTCACAGCTAATTCAATACTGAAAATGAATATCCATAAATTTTTTCTTCCACCATTGCAGCCACCATTGTAATCAATACTGTATAATTTTTGAAATCAAATACTGAACATATGAAACATCTTTCAGCAACCATTGCAATCAAAATTGTACTTTGCTCGGAATATCAGAACAGAATCAATTATTCTACAATTCGAAAAAATCATAACCAAAACTTTCCAGCAATTCAATAAAATCAATAGAGTAACAGATCCAATTATGCTTCAAAACCATAAACCAAGAACTGCAGCGAACATTCGAGAATCCAATTTCGCCTCTACAGAACAATAGACTATCGAAAAAGGAATTCCTAGAAATTATTGCAAACTCAACTGTAAATTCTAATCAAACTCCAATAACTTAATCCCAAAGAGAGACATACAGGTATTTATATGGAAACCATAAATCTGTAGCAGGAAAACACCAACTTTTTCTCTATTTGTAAAAATCTGAGAATATCAAAGAGGGGAAGAAGGAAACAGTGATGCGAAGGGAGATGCGAGCATGAGAGTAAGAAAAAGTTCCCTCTATTTGCAATCTGTTGAAATCTAATGAATACCATATATCTCTTCTCACAGAAATGCAAAAATTTCTCTCTATCGTAGAAATGCCATATATCTCTTTTCAAATAAAAGCAAAAAATGTGCAAAGATACCTCATTTGAGGCGAGAAGGAACAGTTGGAAGATCAGGTGAGACAATAAGACTATTTTTTTTCGATTTTAAGTAAAGAAATTTGTATTTTTGATGTATTAAAAATATTAGAGATTCATGTAAAAAGAAAGATTCATGTAAAAAGAAAAGAATTAAACTTTATGAAATCTTTAAGCTAATATAAATTTGTTAATTGAAGAAAGTGAAAAGTTTTTAACTTTAACCAGAGGATAGTAAAGTTCAAAACTATTAAAGGCTATCTAGATATAGTAATCCTCACAAAGAAAAAGAAAAGAAAGGAAAAAAAATGAAAATGATCATGAAAAGAAAAAAAAAAAAAAGAGAAAAAAAAAGAAGAGATGCGGGGAGAAGCTTGAGGAGATGCCTAATTAAAAATTGGGTTCACTTGAATCAACTTAAGGAAGATGACTACATTTTCTAAACTTTTATTTAAGTATTAGCTTATTTACTAGTAAAGTTTTATGAAGTTTTTTTTCATATGAATATTCTAAGTAACTTTAATATGACAATTTGTATTTTTTCTTAAAAAGAATAGAGAATCTTAAATCTTGGACTTGATTGCTGATAATGTTGGCAACTTCAATGTTGCTCATTATGACAGTCTCTACAGAACTGTTCTTGCTTCGTGCGTGGATTGTACCATATTCGATTTAGTGGTTGTGTTGTTCACTTTTATTTTGTTGTTTGAATCTGTTAGTCTAATGCATGACGACATCACTATTAACCTTTTATGGTCAGCTTTTCTCTATGGGCACCAATAAAGATTATTCTAAGAATCTCTTTATGGAGAGAAAATATTCATTAGATGTCCGGATGCACAGAACATAATATTTTTTTTTTATATGACATTCCTCAATGTAACTAGTTATTCTATATTTTTTCATTCTGCCCTCTACATGGCCTCTTGCCAAAAAAAAAAACTCGTTCACAATTCAGAAAAGAAAAGCCTGCATATCATTCCTTTTTTGAAAAAAACAAATACATTACAGCTTCATATACAACGATCTCCATTCTCTAAAGTCTCTGACTAAAGAGACCTTCAATGGATCCAATCAAAGCAAAAATGCTCACAAGCAAACATCCAACACTGAAGGCCTGGAGCACGAACCACCTCGAAGTCCAGGGTGCAATCTTCTTCTGCACAGAATACATTTCCACAGGAAAATATATTGCTAACGGCCAGAAGCTAATGGCTCCAAGCAGTGCCAGCACCTGATTGAAGTATGGGAAGCCCAATGCAAGCCCTGTAGTTGATGCAACGTAGAGTGTTCTAAAAAAGATTCGGAACAGATTTATTCTAAATGATGGTAAGAATGGAAGATGAATTCTGTGGAAGCAATTCGTCAATGTCCAGCTCGATGGAAGTTTTTCCGAGAACTGTCGCTCAAAAAATGCAAAGATTGGCTGGCTGAATACCTGAGTTGAAACATAAAAGACATTGTTAGTAAGAGATTAAGATATTGATTGCAGAACAGGAAATTTTAATGTTAGTATTAAAAAGTACAGAATGAGAGATATAGATGAAAGAACCATGGATTTTGATTTCTAAGCAAAACTTAGCAGCGAAAACAAAACAGCTATAAGAGAAGCTAAGATTTCTATTTTTTAAGAGACAAATTATTTCATTGCAGAAAGAACTGCGTTGAATCTTGAGCTAACTTCAATATGGATAGCTTCAGCCAATATTGTAAGAATTGCATTACCTGATAGCCTCCAATCAGGTGAAGTATGATGCAAGAATTGGCTAAGTCTACGAGCCAGTATGGTTCATAGAATCCAAATCCAGTTAAGAGATTTCCTGGGGTATCATCACCAAAGGCGGCATAGCCAAAGCATCCACAGCAGAGATAGAAGAAGGTGGTGATGATGATGGACGCCATGGAAGCTTTCTTCATTGTCTGGTGTTCTTGAGGTGGAGACTTCAAAGTATCCTGCATTCAATGAAAATTTTGGATAGAGTTCATTCTCTTGATATACGGCAGGAAGACGCACAACGCATTAGTTTTTTTAACAAAATTTTCTCTTTTGTTTAAGACAGATAGGAATTGCAGCATTTTACTTGTATTTCTATGACAATTATAGAGTATGGATAAGCAAATGCTACGTCCCCAATGGCTTGGGAAACTTTCCAGACTTTCTGTGCTGTAGATGCTGTGTGAACGGATGCTGTGTGAACCCCACCTATCCCTCCATTGATCCTTCCATTACCTGAGACAGAAGTAGCATTAGAAAAGCGTAATGTGCTCCACAGAAAGTCATGTTTTATGTTAAACAAAAGTACATGTTCACAAAAAATTGATATTTGAAAGGACTGCTCTTTCTTTTGGCTGTGAGATAAAAGCCTTTTACCAAAACAAATTCTAGACAGACCACCTTTTATTGGCTTGGCTTATCTTCTTTTGGAACAGTAGCTTTAAATTTTATGATGAGGTCCATACGAAATCATCATCTTACTTGCCGACACTCTCTATGATCAACCACATCCCAAACATGCTAGCTCATATTTGTAAGCGTGAAAATCATTATTTAATTTCATAAGACACATTAAAAGTATAACTTCAATACTATGATAGAAATAAACGTAAATGGGTCCTTTCAAAAGTCACTCATGAGTCCTATGAGTTAAGCTTCTTAATGATCTTGTAATCTTTTATGTAACCTTGTTTAGGGGCATTAGGGTATGCAAACAGTCAATGAAGAAGACTGGCGACTCTCTCTCTCTCTCTCTTTCTCCACAATGACTGCCTACACTTGTGGCCATCCTTAATTTACCTATCTCTTTCTTAGTCGATTTATAAAGCGTAGGCCTTACCATATACCTAGTTATCATTCTATTTCGTTGATTTCTTTCATTTCTAAACTTTTTCTTAGTTTCGATTCTGCAAAATGACAACAATTAAAAATAAATCAAACCATTATTAAGGTTGAGTTCTGTTTATCCCTGAAAAGCTACCGAAATTGCAAAACTATTTTAAGTCAAGGTAAACATTACCAATCACTTTGGCAAGGCCCAACCCGAATCCAATGAAAGAGTAGGTGAATGACATGGTTGCAGCAACAACAGATAGCCATTGCATATTGTGAAAATCTGGAATCTGGGAGACGAAAATCTGTACAACACCAAACATCAACATAAAAAAGCTATCTCCACCCGAACATGGAGCACTGTGCCCTTCCTTGTGATAACAATTTGATCTCTGAATTGCTCTACAAAATTAAATTAAGAGCGAAATCAATCAAAGGTGCCAGGAATGAAATATCAAGTTCCAGTTTCACATCCAGTTTAACAGCTAGCCGTTACCTCATACAAGTTGCAGTAGTGATAACGTATGCAGTAGAAGTTCCAAACAAGCTCAAATATTGCAGAAAACCACAAAACAAAGTGTGTTTCTTTCCTGAACCACCACAAAAAAAAAAAAAGTTACAAAAGTCTATTTCACAATTCCACAAAGCAAAACAACAACACAAGCATTTTTTACTTGCTCCAGGTACCTAAGGTCTTTTTAACTGCATCCATGTATGAGTAGTTTCTTGCACCGTACACCGGATGTGGAGATCGATAACACTCTGAGAGCATGAAGGCAGAGATATAGGTGACGAAGGCAAAGCAAATCATGGCCAATGGCCCCGCAATCCATCCCAATTGTGCAGTGCTCCAGGCCAAGGATAGCACACCAGCGCCAATGACTCCAGTTATGATATGAGCTATGCATGTCCACACAGTTCCTGGTAGTGTTGCCTTGCCCGAAGGCTTAGAAATAAGGACTATGTCTATAAACAGAGGGATATGAATTTTTGTTAAGAAATGGAAGAATGTTAGCAGCATAATTACCAGTTCTTATCTTTCCATCATCAGTGTTGGAGGCAGCAGATGTCTCAAGAGACTGCTCAACTGCCATTACCAATGCTAGTGAGGTCTTTCTTACATCTGATGGCTATAAGTGAGGAACTAGAAATAGCTTATACGTTTACAGAGTTATACGTATAAGAATATAGGAAATAAATTAGGACTCAATTGTTGCTACTTCAGAAAGAAAGCACAAGAATTCCAACAGTTTGAAGATGATTGGGCCCAAGTTCCAAAGTAGGTTTCAGTGAAATCAGTTCGTATAAAACTTGTTTATTTTACATTAAATAAATTCTGGGGGAGTTCTTTGTAACTTTTTGACAGCTGTGAGTCAATAGTTTTGGCTATTTGTTTTATTACAACTAAATACTGAATATTTTAATCAATCTACATTTTAAATTTAGTTATTTTATTGGAAAATTAAAAGACAACGTAGCGTAATTTTTAAGCCTTCATAATTCACCATCATCATTATCTTCATAATAATAAAAAAAAAAGCTCAAAAGAAAAGATCTCAAAATAAAAATTTAAATTTAATTTTGCTTTTTTTCTAATTCTTAGATTACTGAAACGATCAACAAAACAAGTAAAAAAGTTTGAGATGAATTATTTCTGGAGCTCTTTTTATGAGATATCGTAAAGAATCTTTCGTCGAACCAAAAAGTAACGATAAAACTTGAAACGGCATTCAAAATCCATCAACTTGACATGAAATGTGCGCTCAATCATTCACACTTATCTATTGTGGGACATTTTTTTTTTTGGTTCTTTTTCAGAGAGTATTTTGTTTTTGCTCCGCTTTAAGATTATGAATGCCCGAAAAGTTGTTTTCTTCCCCAAATAAGAAGAGAATCTACAGACTGCAGATATTTTTTCTATATTCTTGCAATCTGTATCGTTTGTAAAACAATTTGATTTTCACTCTTAGGCTTCGTTGGTTAATAGATTTAGGTGTCTAGTTTTATTCTTGAGAGTAGATGATTATAATCAAAGTTTTGGGCGCTTCATCTAAGGTGACCAGTTATAGATAACTGTGGCAGCTTGGCCTTATTTAAAAGATGATAGATGTTAATTTTCAAGAAAAGAGAGTAGATAATTATAATCAAAGTTTTGGGCGCTTCATGGTGACCAGTTACAGATAATTGTGGCAGCTTGGCCTTTTAATATTCTTCGATTTGCTTCTAAAAAGATTATAGTCTTATTTAAAAGATGATAGATGTTAATTTTCAAGAAGAAGAAGATTTATATACTTAATTAATGGAAGGCTAAATAACCTAATAAAGTAGAGATTAACTAATATTAAAACATAGAACAAATTAACACTGCATGTGACAATATTTTTAATTTGAGAGACCTCCACTTTCTTATAGACAATGCAAAACAGCCGCTAGATCTGCTCATCGGGGAATCTTCAACATTTCATAAAGGTAGTCAAGTTCCAAATAGAAGAGTCCAGAATTGTGGAGCCCTTCTAAATATTTTGGCATATTGTAGACTTATTGGTGATCAATGTAATTGGCTGCATTATATTATTGAATCAACAATAAAAAAAGCTTTCCGATTGCTAGTCAAAAGTGCTGTGGAAAAATGGACAAAGGACTAAAAAAGGATTTTGATTTTTTAAGAGAAAAAGGTCTTAATCAAGTTAATAAAAACGATATAAGAAACTATTGTATGCTGAAAAATTCATAGTAAAACACTATCTAATTTCATAAAATATGACTAAGGACAAGTAGTACTAAGATAACAATAAGATAAAAGTAGGTATTCGATACTGAATATTTATGACGGGAGAGTGTTTTGTGTAATATATAGTTTTGTAAGAATAATTCTGACATAAATAAATAAATTAAAACAACATAAAAGGCACGGAAAACTGTATATAAAAAACCTAAAGGAAGAAAATCATGGCACTGACCTAGTTTAAATATTCCACCACATATGTGAGACATTAAAAACTTTCAGTCTTTCCTATAATTGGAAATGATGGAATTACAAAATTAAAGCAATTTCTTACTCTCCCAGGATCATAGTAAAAATAGTGAAGAACGATAACAATTGTTGAATATAGCAGCAGGATGACCATAAACAAGAGATGATGCTTATACAATAATAATTAGGTAGAAATGGTTGAACATTAGTTGTTAGTGAAGGATAGATAAATAATGATAGTTGAATGATGATGGTGGTTATATAGTGACAATTAAGTAATGATAAACATGTGATGATGTATTGGCAATGAAAATCAAATTGAGGAGGTTTTAATAATGATCATCGATTAGAGTTATAAAGTTTCTTAGATCTAAATTCTGTTTTTTATTTGAAGCCTAAATCTATTTTATGTAAGAAATGTAGATCAATAATTTTTTTGAGTGATGGTTTGATTCTCTTGGTCAATATTTTAAAAACTTTATCAAATGATATATATTGATTCCTCTGACAATACACATTTCCATCAACATTTAAATATATTAATAAACTCAATTCACATTTCCATCAACATTTAAATATATTAATAAACTCAATTTTGAGAGATCTTAAGCTCATTGGATTCCTACGGTTAAAATGCTCGACTTAATTATAGGCAAGAATGATTTAAAGAGTTTGTAGTTTTATCATGTAATGTCTCAAAATTTTCAAACACACTTCAAGTGATTGATTTAAATGCATTTAAATTTGGTATGGATCAGTTTTGGTGTCATTGGATTTAACTTATTGTGACATTTGGTTTACTAAAAATTAATTTGATGAAATTAATATTCATGCAATCCTATTTTTTTCTTTTTTAATGGTGTCATCAAGATATTTGCTTCATTTGATGAATTTCTTGATGAGATGTCAGTTGTCACTCTAATTTTGGATGTCATAGTTTTTTAACAAAAAAAAAAATATCATTCAAAAAATAAGCATCATAAAAATTTATTCATACGTAGCATCATGATAATTCTTTTAAATATTATTATCGATAATGCACTAGATAACATAATTATAACTCTACAATTTATTTTTTACTGATGTATTATAAGGTAAAATTATATGTAAACAAAATTAAAATTAATTTTATCTATGGTCTAGTATTTTTTTATCTCAAATTCGTCAATGTTTATGCTCTAATATTTGTAACTCTCATTCATTCTCTCAAATAAAAATACTTACCATAGGTAAAAAAAAACTCACACAAACATTTATATTTCTTTCTATAGCGCCCCTTTCATCTCTAAAAAGAAGATTATTGTCTCCATTCGAACATATTAAATTCAAGGCACCCAAAGTTCTCAATCATTGCGTTGGAGCTTCAGTTTCCTATGAATGTAAGATAAATATGTCAATTTGGATAGATTGATTCAGAGGTTTGAGAGAGGTTTGCTGGGATTATTTTATTGTAGGGGTCCACCATATATCTCAAAAGATTTCTATATAAATGATCTGATACAAAATTCGAAGAATAATATGTTTGTTGGCATCAGTTTTTGATGTCACACGTTTAGGATGTCCGCTCAAGCGCTATGGAACCTTGGATGATGCATGTGTTGACTCTTGTAGCGCAAGACATCCATTTGAGACCTTTCAGCGTGTGTTGAGGGACACGTTGTCGGGATCGTCCTACTAGACTTTGGTTGGCTCTCAGACGAAGGCCGGTCAGCATATTTTTTGACTAGGCGGCTTCGAGCGGGCTTGCAGTTATCATTCATCTTGTCGCGCTCGAGGCTGGCTTGAATTAGCTCATCCACAGGCGAGCTTTGCCGAATGACCTTGAATCATAAAACAAACTGCATAAGCGTGTTCGAAACGTCAATTTTACTTGAGAAGGATGTCCATCTCTCTACGGCTTCGTGGGTGAGGTAAAAATGCACGAATTATCACTTTGGCACGATTGTCAAGGAAAGTTGTCTGAACGACCCCGAATGACGAAAAAAACAGTGCGACTGTGTCCGGAACCTTGATTTTACCTAGGGGGACACCCATTTCACTAGGGTGTTGCACCAAGGCTAAAAATACGTGAATCGAGGTGTTCGATTAGATAATAATAAAACTATTATTTAAATATAACATAAAAAATTATATATATAAAGGGGCCGATTTAAACATCACATGCGCCCTTCTCCCATTTCCATCCCTGTATTCGTGAACCCAAGCTCTCCATCACACCTTCGCCACTTGGGTCCCCTAGTTGGCGTTCGAAGCTTGTTGTCGACCTTTTATAGACGACGAATGTAGCCGTCAACGTCCTGCTCCAGCCACTGAAATCACTGCTCCAACCGCCACCTTTTATTTCTCTATCCTATTCTTTTCGGCCAACCACACCGCTTGCTCCTCTTTTCGTCGGTGACGCTCCGCTAGCCTCCTCCAAAGTCAGTGTTGAGCTCTTGCCAACCTTAGCGCCTCCCTTGTTGGCCTCCTTTCTCAGTCTGAGCCTTCCCTCTGCCAATCTTCTTCCTTGGTTGAGCCCTTTCCTTGGCTTCCCCTCCTGCCGACGAAGTCTCCTTCGACGTGTTTCTCGCCGACTAGCTGCTCTCCTGCCAAAGATGTGTGTACCAACTCCCTCTTGGGCCAAATTTGTGACCTAGCTAACACGTTTCTTGGCTCCCTCGTTGACGATCCACCTAACTAGAGACCACCTCCTTCTCGTCAACATCCTATTTTTGGCGACTTCGTTGCCTCTTTCTCGTCGTCGGGGTGGCAGCGACTTTGTGGCGTATAGAAGCCCGTCCAAACCCTATCAACAAAGTATACGTGCCATTCTCATTTTTGTTTGCAACAATAACTTATTCCAAATACTTGTATACCTCACCAACTCTTGTCTTCCCTAGTTTGCTTGGTTCGTTGAGAGGTTTGTTGACACGAGGACTCTCCTTTAGTATAAGGAGAATGAGTCTGCAACCGTCATGGTGGTGACATTTCCTTATCCTTTAGTTGGCCCTAGGTTTAGACTGATCTAGGCGCATGGGTGATCGCCCATGCGGGGTGGATGTGCCGGCCGACACGTGTCTCCTGTTGTGCCACCTATGTGATGGATTTTATGCTCTCTTAGAAGGAGCCGTAGGGTAGGAATCACATGCGTGTGTTGTTCCTATACAATGCCAAGTGATCCCCTATTGTTGTGAGCCTTAGGCCTTGATTTTCATGGGTTGGAACGCCAATTTTACACGGCTTTGGCGCTCCTAACATCCCTTGGAGGGGTTGGTAACTTCAAACTCAAGGAAACAAAAAAGTTTATAGTTAGCTTGTTCTGTGAGTTTGACGGCATTCA